ACAGGCAGAGCAGACAGAAGGAGAAGCAGGCTCCCCGCTGAGCAAGGAGCCCCCCCGACCCCCCAATGTGGGACTCCATCCAGGACCCTGGGATCATGACCTAAGCTGAAGGCAGATGCTTGACCCACTGAGCCACCCAGGCATCCCTGAATCTTAAAGTATTGAACTAGACCCCCAAGACTGAGTGATTTCTTGCTAAGTCTCTTTAATGTCATTTCTTTTTTTTAAACAATGTTTTTCAAAAGATTTTTATTTATTTGTCAGGGAGAGGGAGAGAGAGAGTGTGAAAGGGAGCAGGAGCAGGGGGAGCAGCAGAGGGGGAGGGAGAGGGAGAAGCAGCTTCCCTGCCAAGCAAGGAGCTGCATGCAGGACTCAATTCCAGGGTCCTGGGATCATGACCTGAGCCAAAGGCAGATGATCAACCCACTGAGCCACCCAGGTTTTCCTCTTTAATGCAATTTCTTTTGAGAATTTTACCTAGATGACCTACGGTTGATTTCTCCCAAGCTACCCTTGTCACTGTCCTTGTTACAATTGTTCGTTGCTTTGGTTTCTTGGATTTTGTAAAACATTTGCATTCTTCTGATCAAATTTGTTGTTGAAGAGCTCCCACCTGTAGGTTTTTACTATTTGCAATGTATGCAACCGTGATCAAGAAGCATGTGGTTCTGCCATCAAGTGTGTATACCAGGCCAGGCAGAGTTCTGAGCTCTGTAATTTGAGGCACTAATGTCTCGGGGCCGGGTGGTGGGATGTTGGTGGCAGGGTGAGGGGCTCCAGGCCAGACTTGAAATTCTCCCCTTTTAAGGCAAGAAAGGTAGTAGATAAACTGACACCTAGTTCCTATGAAAAGTGGCCACTTGATGAAAATTGCAAGTACGTGTTCAGATATTGTGGAGCGATGGAGCATCTTCTGTTCATGCTGGAATAAGGCAGGGGCAGCGTGACTAGCCTGGCTCTGCCCAAGCACCGTCCCGAAGTCATGAGAGTCAAAACTGGAGGCAGCAAGCCTGCAGTTAATTCCTGCTCAAGCCTCTATTAGAATCTTGGTCTCTTAAAAATATGAAATATTTCTCATTGTGCTACACAACCTGGTCTAAGAAAGCCTTAGTGAGGGCAGAATCCGGAGAGGCAGGTCAGTAACCATTATCTGTGGCATTGTCCCTCAAAAAGATTAGTACATTCCCCACTACTTGTATAACATTTCCGATGAACTAAAATTGCATGTCTTCTGTGCAGCTTATCGTGATTCAAACATTCGTCAAAGAGCCTTATGGCTGTCGTCATTAAAATCCCACCCGCCCCCCCCCCCCCCACCAGGGGAAGGGAGAGCAAGACTGTGGCCATCTGTTCTGCCTGAAGATGCGCCCCCACCCCTGGGGGGCAGTGGGTTACGGGGCTCTCCCTGGGACTTCATAAGGATCTCGGGCTGTGCACGTGAGCAGCTGTGTTCTTGTGTCCAGTCAAGACGGGCCCCGGCTGCAGCGTCTCCTGTCCTGCGGGAGGGGTTCCTCAGCATGCAGAGGGCAACTCACCTCCCTTCCTGGTCTCCCACGGCAGCTGGAACCCGATTGATAAATATCCTCATTGTTACCCTCTCTGTGCCAAGGAATGGGTGGTCCATGGGGCTGGGAGCTACTCCTCCCCAGCTACACTCGCCCTCACCGCTGACAGTACCCTGTCCCCACAGTGCGCGTCCCTCTCCCCAGAGAGTCTCAGAAAGCCTCTTCCGGGTGGTGAGCAGTTTGTAAGGGACTTAGGGGTTACGTGAGCAGATGGCCAGTGACATGTAGGGTATTAATACCAACAAGACTCCATTTTGGCCCTGACACAGCCACAGGTGGCAACAGATGGCCGTTCCAAGCTAGTGATGGGAGATACTGTAATGACCCTTTGTCACAATTCAGTTGTGGTTTGGATGCCTGGTTCCACCAGCTGTCCAGTGATAAAGGAAATTTGCAACTTTTAATGTTTGCGGGTCCTGCTCCTGGGCTCCCAGGGAAGCTGTACTTGAACATTTACCAAGGTCAAAATGACTTGGCAAAACCTCAGAAAACCTATTTCTGCCCTGAGCACACATCGTATGCCTGCCTCATTTAAAAACAAAGCAAAACAAACAAACAAACAAACAAAAAAAACCAAAAAGGAGTATTCCAAACACAAAGATAAGAAAAACTACAACAAAAATATCCCTCCCTGGTCCCATAAGCTATTCCATCAAACAGCCTGAAAACCTTAAGATAAAGTCTGTAAGTTACTGGCAAGTCCTTCCTCTTGATGACTTGTAACTCTTTATGTAAAAAACACATATAAGGGACACCTGGGTGGCTCAGTGGGTTAAAGCCTCTACCTTCGGGTCAGGTCATGGTCCCAGGGTCCTGGGATCGAGCCCCGAATCGGGATCCCGCTCGGCAGGGAGCCTGCTTCCTCCTCTCTCTCTCTCTCTGCCTGCCTCTCTGCCTACTTGTAATCTGTCTGTCAAACAAATAAATTAAAAAATTTAAAAAAAAAACACATATAACTCTGCACCAAATGTTCCTTCCCTGGAGCACTCTGTCCTTTGTGAAGAAGGGCAGGTGTCCTAAAACTTGGGCTTGAATAAAATTCTTTTCCTTTCTCTTTAAAAATTTTGCAGAAGGTTTGTTCATTTTGTGTGGACACGCACCAAGTGTCTTCCCTCAGCTGTTAGAGATTCTCTGAGCTGTTCCCATCCACATACCAGGGAGTGCTTGGCATTGGATCCCCCTGCCGTTACTCCCCCAGAGAGATTCTAAGTGCCAAGGAGAGGTCCTGGCCTGGATGGGGATGGGCGGGTCTGGGCCTGGGGAAAGAGACCCTACCTCAGGGGTGGTGGGGAGGGAGTGTGTTATTAAATGCCATGGATAGAAAGATAAGATCTGCAGGGAAAGAAGCCAGAGAAAACTATGGGAGACATGGGGATTTCTCACATCTGCTTTCCATTTGGGATCAGCAGGTATAAACAAACAGTCCCCCTCAGACACACACGTATACACACAAACAAACAGATAAAACAGGCAACCTGGGTGTTTGCTCCCGACAGGAAGCCAAGGTTCATTCAAGGGTTCATCCAAGGTGTTGTTTTACTCTTAGGGAACACTACCCTGGCTGCTTGCCATCCAATGTCAGAAAACTGTCGTTTTGTATATTTTAAAGCCTTTTTTTTTAAACTTGTGGGTAATTCAGGCTTGGCTAGGTCCACAACAGATATGTTGCCCTTGAAAGGTCATGGGGGCTCTAGGCACTGTTGCAACTCATGCAGATGGAGGCAAATTGGCTGTCCCCTTCTTGGTATGGGGCAGCAGTGGGGTCTATAGTTCATCTAGTTCCAGCTGGGTCAATTCTTCCGCCTTCTCTAACACTCCTGAGGCCACAATTGTACCTCTTGGGGTGCCACCTCAGTCCAAATTTCGTCATGCAGAGAAAATTAACATCTTTAAGATGCTGTACTATTCTGCATCAGACCTGGGCCTGCTTTTTGGCTTGAATATTCTTTTGTAGACCTCTTAGCATTTAAAAATGTTCTTTAAGTGGCTTTTATAATTATTCAAGCATATTCCAAAGCACTGTTTCTTTTTAATTGCTTTTTCTGAACTGAGTCATCAACACAACACTACCCTACTGAAATTTTCTCCATATATGAAAGCTTGTGATGCATTTATATTAATTTGTACTCAGCCATACAAAGGAATTCAGATTTAAACTGTAATAATGTCCCCTCCTTCAATAGGTTAATCTTGGGGCACCTGGGTGGCTCAAATGGTTGAGTGGCCGCCTTTGGCTCAGGTCAGGATCTCAGGGTCTGGGGATCAAGTTCTGCATGGGGCTCCTCTCCCCACCCCTGCTCCTGTTCTCTCTCTCTCTCAAATGAATAAAGTCTTTTTAAAAATAGATTAATCTCTGTTATTCCTTTCCTTTATTTTTCAGTGTGGAAATGTACAACATCGTGTTTGGAAAGCATTCAATACCTCTTAGTTTTGTCTTTTGGTTTCTATAGTGATAATCCTCTTTTGATCTCCTATATACCAAATTAAGAGATTTCCTTCTTTCTGTTTTTTTTAAGGATTTTATTTATTTATTTGAGAGAGAGACAGAGATAGCAACAGAGATAGCGAGAAAGAGAGCACAAGCAGATAGTGAGAGAGAGCACAGTGCAGCAGCAGGAGAAGCAGGCTCCCCACTGGGCAGGGAGGCTGACTTCCGGCTCAATCCCAGGACCCTGAGATCATGACCTGAGCCGAAGGCAGAGGCTTAACTGACTGAGCCATCCGAGCACCCCAAATTAAGAGATTTCTTATTATTAAACCCTCTTTACATTAACTGGTCATAGAGCATTATTCTTTGAATACGGAGCTCTGGATGATGTTTGCTAATATTTGGGGCTTTCCCATTACACTGCAAGGCAACCACATCTACAACCTCTTCTGCAAAATCTCTCTAGCTGAGAAATGTATGCTTAAGCAGGAAATTGTGCTGGAGTAACCGCCCTCAAGCAGTGTCCAGATGCAGGAGTCCACAAACATACGCTAAGCCTGAGGGTCAATAAACGTGAGAAGGAAGGACTTCTCAACCCCCAAAACGGGGCCCCACTGAGGCCCACATGCCTAAGGACTTTCCTACACCAAATACGGACAGACATCCAGATTGAGCTAGATAGAGCCAGATGTCTTGGGCTATGCCCAAGGCCCGGCCCCTGGCCCGCCTGGGGACTGTCGGCCCCGCCCCGCGGTTCTGACCCCGCCTCCTCGAGCGACCATTGGACCTGACCCTCGCCCCGCGGTTCTGACCCCGCCTCCTCGAGCGACCATTGGACCTGACCCTCGCCCGTCCGCGGCTAACCTGGGCCGCCCACCCTGTGTTGCGCCTGCGCCCTAGCGACCACCGGGACAAGTGGGCGGGGACCGCGCGGGGCCACGCCCCTACCCCAGGTCCGCCTCCGCGCACACGCACTTCCCGCCACGCCTCCCCGCCCACCTCAACCCAATCCTTCCTAGAGGTGGCTAGCCAGCGCGAGCGCGGCGCGATGGACGGCAGGGTGCAGCTGATCAAGGCCCTCCTGGCCCTGCCCCTGCGGCCCCAGACCCGGCGGTGGAGGAACCCGATTCCCTTCCCCGAGACGTTTGACGGCGACACCGACCGGCTGCCGGAGTTCATCGTGCAGACGGGCGCCTACATGTTGGTGGACGAGACCCTGTTCTCCAGCGACGCCCTGAAGGTGACGTTCCTCATCACCCGCCTGACCGGGCCGGCCCTGCAGTGGGTGATCCCCTACATCAGGAAGGAGAGCCCCCTCCTCAATGATTACCGGGGCTTCCTGGCCGAGATGAAGCGGGTGTTTGGCTGGGTGGAGGACGAGGACTTCTAGGCCGGGAGCCCCTCGGGCCTGGGGGCGGTGCTCGGGGGAGGGTCCGCCGCGCCCGCCGCCGCCGCCGCCCAGATGGCCGCAGGCGTCGCCCCGCCGCGCCTCCCGCCCCCTACCTTCGCCGCGCTCGAGTGGCCGCGCTCTCCCCCACGCTGCTGTCCCCTCCCGCGTAGTGCTTGCCTTTGTTCCAGGAATAGCGCTCCAGGTCCCCGCCGCTGCCTCTGGGCCTGGCTCCGGAGCGCGCCGCCGCCCTGGGCCGCCAGCCGGGCCCCTCCCGTGCGCACTTGGACTCGGGCCCGCGCTCCAGCTGCGGGCCGGGCTCCCGTTACACACCGGCCAGACCACCCACAGCCCGGCCGCCGCGGGCCGCCTCCTCCAGACTGACCGCCAGGCCTGCAGCGCGCCGCCCGGACACCCGCGCTGCCACCGCCGTCCACCGCGCGCCCTCGACGGCCTGGGGCCCCAGCGATGTGGGCTCAGCCAAGAAGTGGCTGAGCCGGCCGCGACCCCTGACAGTGACTCCAGCAGCTCGCCACCCACCGCGCCCCACCCCCCCCGAGGGGCGGGCCGGCCTCTCACCTGCGGCGGGACCCGTCGCCCCCTCCTCCCAGAGACCTCTTCTGCTCCTGCCAGATGGCGGCCGGGTCCCAGGGGTGCCTGGCAGCCAGATCCAGCCGCTCGTTTTCTTTCTCCCGTGGACCTGTTCGTTTTGCCCTGAACCCAGTTCTCTTCTCAGTTCGCAGCTGTCTCTCTGATGTGTGCCTTTTGTTCCACACAGTAGTTAAGCCCTGCACTCTGCCCAGCTCTTCTACACTACCTGGACAAACGTCTTTTCCTTCTTTTCAATAAATGTCAGACGCTATTAAAAAGAAATTGAGTCTCGGTGAATGTGGCACCCCTGCCTCCCCGGCCGGTGCGCGGGGTCCGTGGGTGTCGTTGAGCAGGCGTGTCCCCAGCTGCTCTGTGGCTGAGGTTGAATCTGACATGGTGAAACACAGCAGGGGGTCGTGTGGTGGCCCTGGGGACGCGCACCCCAACCGCCGTCGTTCGGGCCCACATGCTGACCCTTCCAATCCAGTCAGCTCCATGCCCCTCAGGAAGTGGACCTCCATCTGAGTTTGGCCAAGGGGGTATCAGGAAAAGGCAGCTGGCAGCCTTCTGGAAAACATTTCCTCCTTTCCAAAAAGCTGCTTGAAGGTGCAACACCTTTCTGTGACAAATCAGGAATCCCACACATATGTTGCTGAATCCTGTCAAATTTTATTTAATGCATTATTCAGGGAATCAGCAGAGTGACAGGTTCCTTAGAAAAAGCATTTACATTTATAAAGCCTTGATTGTGTGAGTAGAGGAGAAGGGAATGCAGAAGTGTGATTGTGAATTTAGCGCAAACCTGGTTGATGAACTACAGGACAGTAGAACTGCAAGTTCTCTTTTGCTGCAGAAAAGGAAAATGGTTATAACCTCCTACTGTTGTCGGCCCGCTAACCCCTGAAATCCGCAGTCCTGAGTAAAGCCTCGGCCTGCTTGTCTGTGGCTGGAAAAGTTAGGCATCCCGTTACGTCTGAGAAAAGGTGGGCTTACAAGGCAGCACTCTGGTATGATGTTAAAGATTCATAGAATCAACCCTCTTATTTCTGACTTGGGTGATTTTTCCAGAACGTGGGAAGGGAGCGGGAAAGGGCTGTGTTTCGCTTGTGCATGCATTGGCCTGACCTGTAGAAAACAAACTGGATTCCGGGCAGCATTGCAAAGAGGACTAATGCTTACAGGCCAGTCCTCAGACTGCTTTCTGCCCACAGGTGGGACCCTTGGCTTTGAAGCCAAGATTAGACTGGTGTTAACCACCCCAGCACTTCCTTGTCTTTCTCCAGTGCTGTAGCGGCCTCTTGTTACAACCATGTCTTTGAACAATTGTGAACAGTTACTACTTCCTCTGAATCAGTCAACCCCTGAGACATTGCACCTGCCAGTAAATTTCCTTCCATCTGTGTCCCATCTGTGGTCACCCCTAGTGACAGTTTTTTGACAGTGGCATCACTTTGACATCGTGGGTTAGCAGCACTTCACCTATGGACAGTGATGGAGCCTCCGACCTAGTGGGCAGGTAACCGTGCTCCCAAATCCGATTTCATAATCTGCTCTTCGGACCACTTCCAGCTCCAAACACACTTGAAATACCCTCAGAAACAGATCTCATAACACTTGTGAGGAAGGGAGGGAAGCAGGATTGAGCAGAGGGAGAATTTAAAGAGACACCACTGTTACAACAGAAGATTCGGCCGATTCTATGGGGATATATCTAAAGCTGGAAGAGCCGTTCAGAAAAGTTACAGATTGAGTAGTTGAGGCCGAAGCCTTGGTACGCTCACACTGTCTAGTCATTAGATAAGGTCTCACCTGAAGGCCACAGGGTACACCTGGGCAAGGCAGCTCCCTTCAACCCACAGTAATTCCTGGGAAGTGATTGAGCTGTGGCTCTCAGCAGCCTGGGTCCCTAGCAGCCGGGGGAAGGAGAACCTTGGTCTTGAAGGTGGGGTCTGGGCAGTGCTTAGTAACACTGACTTCACTCCTCAATAGGGGAATGGGGCCAGCATGATGGAACATAATTCAGCATTTTTTAAAAGATTTTATTTATTTATTTATTTATTTGACAGACAGAGATCACTAGTAGGCAGAGAGGTAGGCAGAGAGAAGTGTGGGGGAAGCAGGCTCTCCGCTGAGCAGAGAGCCCGATGCAGGGCTCGATCCCAGGACCCTGGGACCATGACCCGAGCCAAAGGCAGAGGCTTTAACCCACTGAGCCACCCAGGTGCCCCATAATTCAGCATTTTAAAGAATAGGAAAGATCTATGCCAGCTGATTTGGGGAGATCTTGCAAGGTTTTAAGTAAGGAACAGAATAGGTGGAAAATTGCATTATTCTTTTGTTAAAATTGCAAAACGTTTTTGTATGTTAAAAAAGCTGGCATATGAATGCACACGCACACACACACACACATAGTTCGCTAGGTATGAAGAAAACTATAGCAATAAACATGCTAAGTTGTTAGCGTGAGTCACAAGAAGTGGGAAAGGGTGCCAAAGATAGGGTAGGGCATAGGGTAGGGGAGAAGGACCCACCCAAAAAAGGAAAGCAAAAAGGCTGAACTAAAATGGGAGAGAGGTATTGCATGTCCCTGAAAACTGGAAAAACCTACAGAAACTTTTAAGGATGAAAGGGGGTTAATCCGGGTCCCAATGAGAAACATGGTTAACACAAGTGGATCAGAGCGGAGAAGTAAATGAGGGGACTGTGAGATGGCAGTGGGTATGGCTGGAGGAAATTGTGATTGTATCATTGTTCTGCAAATTTGCACTACTCCCCCCCCCTCAACTCTCCAGAAGGAGTGTGCCTACCTGTTCTTCCAAACCTAGGCTTTGTCATGCACTTGTTTTTATCAGTGCAATGTGAGCAGACCTGAGCGAAACAGAGGATGTCAACATGTTTGTGTGGTTTGGCTGGTCCTCTTGCCCTCCTGTGATTGCCGTGAGACAAGCTGACCCCAGGTAGTCGCTGATCCCTTGCGCTGCACTACACAGTGACTCACGGGGAGCAAATGTGCACACAATTTGCAGCCCAGAGCCAAGCACACCCCCTAACTCCCCAGACAGCCCAGAGCACAGGAGCAAGGAGAACAAGTGACTATTACACCATTATAGGAGCAAGGGCTGCCGAAAACTGACACCAACAAGACATTTTGAGACGCCCTGGGGCTAGCAATGGTGGGGAGCTGGGACCTCCCAGCAAAGCATGAAGGAGTAAGTGCCAGGAGTAGTTACTGGAACACAATAACTATTAGAACCCCTGCCTCCACGTGGATGGACCCGGAGGGTATTATGCTGAGTGAAATAAGTCAGACAGAGAAAGACAAATGCCATATAAATATAAATATAAATATATAAATATATATAAATATATAATGCCATATAAAGACAAATGCCCCATATACGCAGAATCCAAAAAACGAACAAAGAAACAAAAAAAGGGCAGAAATCCCTAAATCCAGAGAACAAACTGATGGTTGCCGGAGGAGAGGGGGGTGGGGGATGGGTAACACGGGTGAAGGGGAGTGGGAGGTACAGGCTTCCAATCTGGGAATGAATAAGTCATGGGGACAAGAGGCACGACATAGGGAATAGAGTCGGAGGTATTGTAATGGCGCTGTACGGGGACAGATTGTGGGGAGCACAGCAGAACGTATAGACTTGTCCAGTCACTATGTTGTACACCTGGAACTAATGTAACATTGTGTATCAACCGTCCTTCAATACAATAAATAATCATTTGAAAATAAAGAGAATTGCTGGAGAGCATTTGTGGTCTTTGGTTAAGGAACTCAGCCACAGCCCACTCTCCATCTGATAGAAACGAAGCTCTCTCATTGGCCAGACTCAACCAGAACCCAAGGATCTCAACAATGTAACAACTCAACAACCTCAACAGAAGCCAGAGGACAAGGGAGTCATTCATGCAGTCCCAAAAGGTCAGCCTCCTGGACACAGAGTAGGGTGGGGGAGAGGAGTTACACAAGGGCAAATGGAAGGATATCCAAAAGATTCATGGACAATCAGTTCCAAATGAGGCACATTTGAAAAAGTGCACAATAGCATTGGTAATCAGAGTGTGTGTATGTGTGTGTGTGTGTGTGTGTGTGTTTTAACTTAAACAACAGATATTTATTTCTCACAGTTGTGGAGGTTGAAAGTTCCAGATCATGGGGAGGGCAGATTCAGTTTCTCCTGAGGGCTCTCTCTCTGGTTTCTAGAGGGTCATCATTTTGCTGTGTCCTCACATGGCCTTTTCTGAGCATGACATCACTGGTTTATTGTCAAACGTCATAACTCAGGAACAGCCAGAGGGAAGAGACGCAGAGGGCAAGGTGTGTGGGAAGGGGCCAAGAACTTCCAGGCCCTCTCAGAGTGTGGCATTCTCACCAAATCGCCACGTGTTCGCCAACCAGGAAGCTCCCAGACAGATCTGAAACAGGGGAAAAATGGGGTCCAACTTCAAAGCTATTAGATTGGCAAAAGTAAACATAATGACATCAAGTGTGGAAGGGATATGAGGCAATGAGAATTCTCATAAAATGCTTGTGGCGGTGTACAACGAAATTGGCGATGAATGTGGCAATCCCTTGTAAAGTTTATGACATACAGGCCCGAGCGACCAGCAATTCAGTACGATGTTGACTGCAGCATTAAAAAAATG